ATTTTTTTTATTTTGTTTATTTATTTGTTTTCTTTATTTATTGTGCAGTAGTTGCTTATAATTATCTACTTATTTTATCATGTAAATGGAATGTTTTCTGTTGAGCAGTAAATGCATTATTATCATTATTTTTTAATTATTATTATTATAATATATCACTTCATTTAATAAATAATTTGAAAAATAGTCCTAGTGTTAGCGATACTACAAATATGACGTTGCCAAACGTGAATGTTTTTACAGCATAAACATTTCTGACGTCAATGTTGACTGATGCCTACTGCAGACTGGATTCCAGTCAACAGAATCAGAATTTAAACGGATATACATATTCTGTTCCTACAACGACCTAGGACGACCGTCCAAGAAATTCCCTTTTAAAATATGCAAAGCCGCCTTGTGTCGACTCTAAGGCGATTAGGTATTGTACAAGCCGGCAGTTTTGGTTTCTAAACGTCGAACAAAACAGTCGACATAGTTGTTAAATCTGTTTGGGAGGCCTACCCTAGTAAATTAATTGAAACGAGCTCCTACAATAGGCCGTTATCTTGATTCTCCTTTGACCCGAAATTTAACGTAAACGGTTAGAAAAAAATTGCTACACCAACAAGAATACAATGATCTACTAGATTACTAGAATATAGAATAGTAATCGGGGGTCGCACTCGCAATCTTATAAATAGGAAGTATAAAAAAAGAATAATGTTCCTATCGACATTTCCTCTGTACAAAAACCTATGTTTCGGATTATGTTACCACCCGGATGGAAATTTAAAGATAGCTATAAAACTTTTTGTTTAGGTATATGAAGTTATATACAGGGTGTTTCAGAAAAACCTCCCGTAAATTCAGCGGGACAAAAAATAAGATTTTGTTTTATGAACTATATGTCTATCTCCTCTTGTTTTCGAGATACAGAGCGACAAAATAAAATTTTTTAAATAGAATTTTTTCGAAAACTTCCAAACGGTGCGAAATATTTTTATGAAATTTGGTATGCCGGGGTTTTTAAGGGAGCCAAATACGCTGGTCTAATTATTTTTTGGATATTTTGTAGAGGACGCTAGTTACGCTACATTCTTATTACATTTTAGGTTCTAATTTTTTTGAGGTTAGGTTTTTAGCATTCCAATTTCTAATGTACAATTTTATTTTCTAAAAATAATGTACCCTTGTTAGAACTTTCTAATGTGAACGGTTTTCGAGAAAAAAGGCTTTTAATTGAACTCTTACAATATTACGGTGTATAAAATAAATGACTTTTCTCAAAGTATACTTATGTCAAAACTTATTGATGGATATCTCATCAACAACGCATACATTCTTAGTAATATTTTAAACTCTAATTAAGTTTATATCAAAATTTTAGTGACTAATTAGTCATTACTAACTACAGTTACTAACAATTACCAGACCAGCGTATTTGGCGTCCTTAAAAACCCTGGAATACCAAATTTCATAAAAATATTTCGCATCGTTTGGAAATTTTCGTAAAAATTCTATTTAAAAAAATTTATTTTGTGGCTCTGTATCTCGAAAACAAGAGGAGATAGACATATAGTTCGTAAGACAAAAAAATTCTTATTTTTTGTCGTACTATCACCCTCTGAATTAACGGGAGGTCTTTCTGAAACACCCTGTATACAGGTAGGTAGTATTAATGATAAAGGACCAGCTCAGATAACACTGACGTATATTACGGAAAAAAGATGCTACATGTTTTTTACTATAATATGTTGCTAGGTTGCAAGGTTTGTGCTTACAATTAAATTCCAAGAAATATTATGAGTGTATTAAGTTCAATTGCATTTATTAGGCATCAATACCTGTCTAACCATCTAGGTACCGGGTTGGAAAGTACCGATGGTCTATCTGAAGTTACGTGAGAGCGATAAAGTAAGCCATAGAAATCCATGTGATAGACAAGGATGGGTATAGTGAAGGCGTCTAATAGTCACCGCCCATTTCGCCCTTCCACAAATAAGAAGTGGATCTTATTTGTGGAAGGGCGAAACGGGCGGTGACTATGAGACGCCTTCATTATAGCCATCCTTCTCTATCGCATGGATTTCTATGGCTTACTTTATCGCTCTCACGTAACTTCAGATAGACCATCGGTACTTTCCTACCCGGTATAATTATACCCTCATAAAATAACATCTGGCTTATATCTAAATCTAATCTATCATAAATAAAAATTCTGCATTATTGGGAAAATGCTTATAAAAATTCAACAAATACGAATTTTTGAACTTTCTAAGCATGAAGACGCAATCCCAAAAATACGAGGTTTCATTTTTATACACCTTTTGTGAATCACCCTGTATAATTTTGACGATTCCTCTTGAAGAAACACCTTTTTCTTACTCTAGTTTAGAGATATAAAGCTAATTCATTCTTTTAAATCTTATCAAATGGAGACTTATTTGTGATTTCTGGTATCGATAAACATTGACTCATTTTATAAGATTTTTTAGAAACAAAATTTTGAATTTGTCGGAATTAGCTTAGTACGTTAATAACAGAGAAAAAACATGAGAATAATAAAATATATGTAAAAAAACACTGTACAGAGAACTGGTATCTAAAGTATGGTTTTCTAGAGGATATTTAGATGCCGATAAAATAGACAAGACAAAAGTGTATATATTTTATTTAGGTGCGTACATTTATCATTGTGTTATTTGGGTCGGCTTAAACATATTCCAACATGAGAAGTGTTCCATCAAAAAATATATATACAGGCTGGTCCAGATTTTAATAGACAAACTTCGAGAATACTAAACAACAAAAATTAACATCACTTTGCTTTATGAACATAGGCGCAGAAAGCCATCGTTTATGAGATGCAGATGGTTGAAATTAACAAAAATAAAACAATTCTTTTTAAATATCTGGAAAACGGCTCCATCAAAAAATTTATCCAAATTTGGTACACATTTTTTTTTTCAAGTATTTCTCCTAATTCTGTATAAAGACAGTCGAAAAAAAATGTGTACCAAATTTGGATAAATTTGATGAAGCGGTTTTCCAGATATTTAAAAAAATTGTTTTATTTTTGTTCATTCCAACGCCCTGTATCTCATAAAGGGTGGCTTTCTGCGCCTATGTTCATAGAGTGAAGTGATGTTAATTTTTGCTGTTTAGTACTTTCCCGAAGTTTGTCTATTAAAATCTGGACCACCCTATATATATATATTTTTTGACACTATAAACGACAGTAATAATAATGATAATAATAATAATAACAATAATAAGTATAGCCTTTAGCAGTTTAAATTTAGTACTTTTATGCATATTTCCACAACAATCTTTGATGATAAATGTAAGTTTATTTAAATATTCTACTGACGCAAATATAATGTTCTGGTCGTAATCGAGATCAACTTGTCGCAGTTTCTGCACTGCAATATTTATTTGTTATTGCCGCTATAAATTCTTTATCTTTGTAAAACTAAATAAAAAATGTTTTTAAGATGGATATCCCGGATTAAAAGATGATATTGGAGTTTATAGCACAAGGTTATATTTCATTTTCATTTGGCACGAAAGATATTCTTTAATAAAAAGATTGTTTGAAAACAAAACTGGGAAATAAGAAAGAATGTACAAGGCAATAATATACGAAAGAAATATGTTGAGAACATTGGTGGCTCTACTGATCAATAATTCTAACTCTTTTGTATGTAATTCAGGGCTAGTCGGTGCTTCAGTTGGCAGAGTAGTTGTCGAGTAGTGTTCCAACATTATCAGGACACTGTGTATTACACTACGATGTTATTTCATCATATTAGATGTGAGTCAAATTGTGTGTTATCCAGTTGCAATTTCGTGTTACCTCATATCTGTTATTTCAATGATATTAGAGGTAATTTTTATGTACTGGTATTCTTAGAACTGGTATTGGAATAAAATGTTTATAAGATCTTATAAACAGATAAGACATTTATTTTGTTGACTTTTCGCAGTAAAAAATAAATTTTTAATCGTTAAATCTCAACGGATTCATCTTTGTCACGTTCGGTGATTTAATGAAAGTTATGTTTAATAATAATTTTCATTCATAATAATGACACAGGATTAATTATTAATCGCCGAAAGTGATTCTAAAAATTAAGATAGAAGAGCAAATTCGTATTTCGAAATATCGGACAGATTAAGATCTAGAAAAATATATTAGATGTATCTTTCATTCCTCATATTAGAACAGGAAATATAGAGTTGGACGCGACTTTTTGTTTCGGCAAGCTGAATTTATCACTATAGATGCTAAATATTAAGTATAATAACATATTAGTTTCCACAGTCATAAAAATGGGGGGAAGATTGTTTACAGGGTGGTTAATTGTATAATTTTTACGTAAATTCACGTTTTTCGCTTATAACTTTTTCCGTTCATTTCCATGAGAAAACAGTAAACTACTTTTTCTCGTCTTCAAGACCTACAAAACCAGCCCTCAAGCGTCAAAAAATATTGATTAAATCAAAAGTTATAAACAGAAGAAATTTATTTATGACTTTTGAATTAAACATTTATAAACTGCGTTATTATTACCAGAATGTTTTGGCATCGCATCCTCTCATTCCTTATCACTGTCTAATAACTCACACGAAATCTGGAATCGGTAAGTTGAATAGTTTACAAGTCTGGACGATCCCGAGGATCTTCCACAATCGCACTGATTTTTTTCATTGCAGATTTCATTTGTAGATTTAAAGGTTTATCTGGTAGTAAACGTGATGTCAGCTACCAATTTCTATATGGAGTAATATTCTAAGAAATCGTTAAAAAATATTACTTCTGAGCGTTGTAGATCACAAAAAATTGTATCTTAAAATACCAATTTGGTTGTTGCTAGCAATAATTATATTTATTGGTAAAACATATGAAAAATCATTTCGTGTTAAATGTTAGTAATATCTGTGTGCGCTATTTAGTAATAAATTCTGAATAAAATATATTCATGCAACTGTAATAAATATATATTTTTTTATTTTAGAAAATGCAGAAGCCTTCGATTCCACTTTCCCTCATACGAGACCTAAGATGCAGGCATTGTCAAAATTTCGTGACGTGTGGGCCAGTCTACGTTGTTCCCGATGAAAGTATACTATGTGGCAGGTAAATATACAGCGATATTCTATTTAACACGAATGTAAACAATGTACTTGATTGGGATCTTATTAAATTTGCTAATAACCTTCTGGATTTTCGCAGACTTTGCACTCAATTATACAAGTTTTGATAACATTGTGATAAAAAACAAATGAATTTTAATCTTGATTTGTTAAAAAGTAAGTGTACATAAATATATTTTCCCGCCCACACATACATTAAAAAATGGAATACACCTACATTAACAAAAATCGTACACAAAATAATGAAATAAAAAAAATTTCCATTTTTAAAATTCAGTGCAAACACTTATTTTCTTTTCGCCATAGGTGGAAAAGACTGCAATATACACTAATAGAAAAAATTAAGGGGCCAAAAAAATCTAAATTTTCGGCGATTTTTCAAATGGCTTTGATAAAAATGGTCGTATAGGAGTAAAAAAAAAGCAATTTGAAGCTTCAAGTTTCTAATTTTTGGATCTTGCAAAAAACAAAATTTCAAGTAACACGTATAGCGCAATCGTAATGAATATCATGAAAAAAAATTTTTCGAAATTTTTTTTGATCTTATTTTTTGTGTACGGACTTGAAAAAAAATTTTTCAACTTAACGACCTTATGGATTATATAGGTTGTTCATTTAGCTTCAATTTCTTTTTTTGGTCTCGATACGACCATTTCTCGTTGAGCTATCCTTTGAATGAAAATGGATCATTTTTTTTTTGTTCATCGATATCTCAGAAACCAATGGTTGCACAGAAAATCGACGGTGGGTTTCAGAAACTTGAATGAATTCTCTACAAGGTCCTGGCACGGTCTTTTAGAAAAAAAAATTTTTAATCCTTAACATGACTGAAGAATCGTAAAAAATAGGACTTTTAGGGGTCTTCTAGAAAATCACGTGCCACATTGAGAATATTGGGAAAATGACTAATGTTAAGTGTGCGTTGTACAGGTCATTGTACCCCTAAAAGCCCTACAAAATTTCAATTCGATCGATCAAGCCGTTTTTTTGTTTCATTCGATTGAATTTTTAAAAAAATTAAAGGATCACGCCTTTAAATGCTCACAATCCGTAAAAAAATGAAAAAAACATTTTTTTCCTGATTTTTTTTGACATTCTTATTGCAGAAAGCGTTTGAAATTATGAAAAAAAAAAATTTTTTTTTTCAAACTTTTTTTCTACTGAAAAAAGGTGGTTTGAAAAAAACTTTGTTTTAGCCTTAACCTTTCAGCCTTTAGGGTGGTAAAATTACCAAGATGGAATTTTAAGTCAGATACTAATATTATCATGTAATAACATATTTCTGTAGTTCTTACCCCATAGTCAAGGTAAGCACGACATTTTCGAAGACTAGAACGAGAAAAAGACTGTCCTTTGTCGCAACCTTTCAACTTTGTTAGATTTATTTCGACTCTGAAAGATACCAATTAAAAAAAGGAAATAAAATATTGTTTTAAAGATTCAGACAATAAAATAATAATAATAATAGTTTTCACAAATAAACATTTCCGATCGTATTTTGGAATTATACTTCTTTTTTTAACTTATTAAATAATATGTTGAATATAATATTTAAAATAATAAGGGCTTATTTATTACAAATATAAAATACAGTTGCGTTACGTTAAAGTTAATAAATTTTAAGTAATCTGATCCTGATACAAAAATAATTTCGGAGGATTTTGTAAATTTTTAAGATTTTGATGTAAAACGTAATTATACTATTTGTTAGAGAGATTTACCCTTTATTTGAGTATCTCATTAACGCTATACAGCATCACTAAACGCAGACGCATCATACAAATAACATACTACCTATAAATGGCTCTGAAACTGTCTATAATTTATAATACCTATAATACTAACAAATAACAAACTATATCTAAGGAGGTTAGAAAAAGATCACGTGTATAAAACTGTAGTAAATTCTTTAAAATAATTATTTTAGTATCTTTAAATTATATCGACGTTGATCAGGCAAAGGGATAAGGGCAATTCGAGTAATTTCCCAGGAAAACAATACAAAGAAAAATCATTAGGTACAAGCGACTTTTTTCCAATATGTATGCTGGTTATAGATAATATTAATTATGTATCAATATAGGTGAATATAAAGCTTGTCCCAAAATTTGTAATAAGTAATTTGGGTAGTCATCAAAATCGCTGATGATGATTTTGTTCCAAAAAGTCAGCAACCACTTGTTGTTTTGAATCAAATTCCGACTGTTTGACACTACTCGTATTCCTAATGCGCTAAGAATAAAGCTCCGCTAGATGGCGATACTGTCCAGGTCCTTTAAAATTCACTTTCTAGTTCTAATTTTACAAATAATTTCTAAACAAAAATTGCATATAAATTAGTAAAATAATTCCCAGCTTGTAAGGTGCTTGTCTATCTTGTACTATTTACGTTTTTGGCCCTAATTTATACCTGATAAAAAGTATGAATTAAAAGCCTCCTAGTACACTTTTTCTAATAAAAATGGTGCAAACTGCATTGAAATCGGATTACTACTCTAGAAGTTATTTAGAATTCATTTCGGAATGTCTATAAATGGATCTTCAACCGTCAGCTATAATAATCCCAGCCTGATTTTCTTCGAATAACCCCGCACTCGCTTTCCTAGACCTAAAACCTTATCAGCTACCCCGCCTTAAAGCTGTTTTCTTTGCTTTATTTGCCTTAGAAGTGGCTGGAAAGGTAAGAATCCATCAGAGGTGCTTCCCGCCGACTAGGATTTACTGCATGCTCCTGAGAAGATTTACTCTTCTAATCATAACAAATGCGAAGCGTACATCGTATCTCGGCGGGTATGATCGATCGGTACAGGAGTTGACAATCTCCTGATAGCTCGAAGAGAGTAATTTGTTAAATAGTTGGTAACCAATGTAAAAGCCATTAGAGAACATTTTAATGTTATACATCTATATTAACGCGTGTTTCATTTAATTATACAGTTCCTTTTAGGACATTACCAATGAAAATTTAATTTACAATGTGCTAAGGATGGGTTACTATATATAACAGGGCACATACAGTTTAATCCACTTAAAGGGTAAAAAAAATTGGATAAATATTTGGATAAATGGTTTAAACAATGTTTTTTTATGGGGATGTAGGAAAAAGTTTTATCGGGAACATGAGTTTTTTCACGACACTACCTGAAAACATGTACAATAAAGCCTTCATGTTTTTAGTCGTCTCCATATGATGCTCTACATTCAAATATGAGTGAAGCTTGATTGACTGGCTGTTACTGTGCCTTGTAATTTTAATAATTTGTTGTTCTCCAACCCCTTCTTCGTCAAATTTGAGACAGCAGCCGCTCTTGCAGAATGATTGGATATATTAACTTTTTCAGTGTCAGTTCCTATATCAGAATTTGATGATTTAGTATAGTATTTTTCCCAACTGGGTAGTTCTTGTCCCATCCCCTTGAATTTGTTTCCTTCCAGTTTTGATTTTGAGTTAACAACTGTACGTATAGCCTAACTGATTTCCTCTTTTTCTTTATCAATATTTCTTGTACGGACGTAGGTTTCTTCAGTTTCTTCTTTGAAAAATTGAATGCTAGTAGACAATTTTTCAATTTTTCTCCTCCTCTCCATTCTAATTCATGTATTGCAAGATAAAAAAAATTGCACTGGGATATCTTCATTCCAAATTTCCGTAATACTTTTATACTCATCAGCGGTTAATGATGAGGTGCTGGCTTTTCGTTTTAAGGGATCATTCTTCGCAAAGCAGCTCGAGTAGCTCTGGCAGCCACAAATTCTACATCACGAAAAGGGTGGATATTCATCTTATATTTTTCGTTAAACAGTTCTTGTAATTGCTTTGCTGTGGCGTTCCACATTGTTCCAATTATATTTTCTTTATAATTTTCACAATTTTTCCTCTTCAAATTGAAAGATAATCTTCCAAAATGTTTGATAATTCTTCAACAGTCTGATTCGTCTTTTCACTGCACGATAACTAAACAATTAAAGTCAACGTGACAGTAATAACAAATCAGCACGGCTGGCATGGCTTTCTTTAGATTTTGATTTCAAGATTGAATTACAAAATGTCATTTTATTCACAATTTTGATGTAACACTTTCTTATCGAATACTACAAGTGTTTAAATTATTCCGGAATTTTTTTTATCTTTAAAATATTTTTAGAAAATTATCAAAATTATATGATATAATTTTTGCTATCTCATCCAATATAAGCATGGGATAGCATTAGGATCTAGGAAACGGTAAGAGATACGGGGTGGCTCAAATTAGAAAAAAGTTGTGTGTTTTTATACCTAACTATATGCCGTTTAGAAAGTTTTAAAATTCCGGGTAGTTCCGGAGATATCCTGAAAAATCCGAAATTTTGTAAAACCGTTTTATTTTTTCTCTGGCTTTATTTGAAAACGAATTTTAAAATAAATTGCATATTTACATTACCACTTTTTTTCGCTCTATCCAAATATAATCAAAATACCAAACAAATTTTATTTGAACTCTGTATCTCAAAAACCAAGCCGTTGTGGACCTCATATAAACTTTTTATCTTAAAATTAGTCAAAGATTCACCCTTTACAGTTTGTACAAGTACTTAATAAATACCCCGTATAATTATACAACTTTATACATCGTACCATTTCCGAAATTTTAATATACAGAGTGAATCTTAACTACGTACTACATTTTAAACAGCAGTAAAGATTAATGTGTAAGATGCATGATTTATCAATAGAGAACTTATTTTGAACCGCTGCCTTCACTATAGAATTTATGCATAACGTAGAGCAGCTGCGCGGTGTTCTCGTTGTTATTGTGACAATTTCAGCCCTTATATGAAATGCTAGCTTTATCCATGGCAATCTCATTTTAAATACGAACAAAACTTTTCCCAATTGTGTTTTTTTCCATAAAACGTAAAATTAAAGGTTTTCTTTTTACTCACTCTAACCTTGGACATACTGTATACTTTTAAAAATGATTGAATTGTGATTAAAAAATTAGTATGCAAAATGAAAGCATGGAACTGTCGCAACAAAGTCAAGTAAAGGACTAGTTTAAAAACTAAGAGAATTGGGCAAGCGCGACTCCCGAACTTTCTAGACCGGTTCGGCAACCAGCAGCGTCCATATGGACAACAAATTAGTTTTTTATTTTTCTTGTAAAATAATACCACGCTCACAAATCGTAGAAACTAACATGCATTTTCTGTTTAGGTGTCAGAGTCTGGCAAAGGACATATATCAAAACGTGTCCTATGAAGCGATAGCGTCCATTTTCAGATACCCCTGCCACAACTGGGAGAATCACTGCTCCACGCCTCTGGCTTGGAACGAGAGTCTTGAACACGAGGAAAAGTGCACTTACAACGGTTTTTGTACGATGTTTTGGAACCACCCGAAGGCACTTATCAAAGGCAAAAGGGAGATACCTTCTGGAGGTAAAATTTAATTTTGTAGAATCATCAAAAATTGCTACATCGTTCAGAGCCAGTGCAAGAAGAATCAATGGTCACAAAACATAAAATAAAGTTTTTTAAAGAAAACATATATTTTCCTTCTAATGCAATATCACTTTGGGGATGGGGTTGTAGTAGGAGTAGAAAATTTATTTTACGTATTCAATGTTTGGTCAGATGATAAAGCATCTGCCTTAATCAGTAGAAAAATTTATCGCATTTATTATGTACTGGATTATTTTTATTATCATCATATTGATTCCGATAACAATGGTAGGATTAAGTAACAAAAAAGTACAATGGAGATATTGTATTGTTTTTTGCGCGTGACGGATGAAGGCGACTTTATGCTAAAAATAAACTTGCACGATTAGAAAATGTTAGATATTGTGCACTAGAGTTACAGATTTTCAATTTTATAATACGTAGAAATATTTAGGTTTATCAATTTTTCCAATTGTTTGGAGCATGAGCAAGAAATATACTGTTTTAGTGTGACGTTACATATTTAGGCAACCCGCAACAAAATGTCATGGTTGAAATTACACAGACAGAATATTGCGATATTTAAGAACATAACAAAGAAGCCATTTTTTGGCACTTATGTCCAAAGTACATAAGGTTGAAAATCTATCTAGTAAAAATATTGGGAAATTCTTCATGACAATGTGCATTAGGGGTTGCCTATTGTTTGGCGTATGTGACGTCACTACTAAAAAGGTCTATTTCCGCTTCTGCAGCTGCAACAAATTTCAAGCTCTGGGAATTTGGTGCTGGCTGTATGATTTATCTGGAGACTGCAAATTCGAAACATGCGCATTAATTTCGAAAGAAACTGCTGTGCCTACTAGTTAGCGACAGGTTTGAGGTTAATAGATCTCTGTTCTCTTCCTCATTCAGTGTAAAATGTCGAATTAAACAGCAGTCCTCACAGCGCAAAATTCACTATTACTGGCAAGTAGTCCACAATCGCGCATGCGTAATAAAAACAGTTTAACAGTTTGCAAACCCAAAAATTTTTTCCAAAACTAAAGCTATTGTTTAACTGACATCATCTAACCTCGGAAAATAAATGAAAAATCTAAGAACAAATTAGTCATACAAATATGAAGTAATAGGAAGAATAAATGACAAAATTTTCTCCCACAATTTTTAAAATACCAAAATACATAATCAGCCTTAGAGATTACTGAAAATTCATTATTTATTATTACGAAACATATATTCCGCTCTATTCGCGTGAATGTGGAGTCAACAGGATTTTAATAGATAATTTTACGAATTTCCAATAATAGTTGTTATTTGGTTAGTCATATTAGTCAGCACAAACAATCTGATAATTTTAAAATAACTGAAAATACGCGATTAAACTAATTTTCAGTAGATACGTTTATGCAGCACAACAATTTTTGTACACTGTAGAAAATAAATTTTTTTTAGGCACTTTTCATTCATTATTAGATCCTGACATGCTACTTCAAAATGGTCACGGAATCAAGAATTAAAAAAATAAGCTGTATATTAACAAAATTAAACTTCTGAAGATAGAATATTAAAAAAATAATAATTAATTGTATCGTTTATAAATAGTTTTATCAGCAATCCAATTATTTATCAAAATCATCCTGTTCTAGACCAATAATAACTTCATCAATTATTAATTATTTACTACAGGTTTTAGCGATTTCAAATCATCTACGCCAAGCTTTTATATTTAGCTCGTATATTTTTTTAATACATCATTATTTATAAGCAAAATTTTCCATATTTAGTATAGTATATCGATCATACAACACATTGTGACATTTGTTTGTCCATGAGAATTACTTATTTGAGTAAGATAAGTACCCAGTTGTAAAATTTACAACAGCATTTACCAAATGGAAACATTTATATTTGCTTTGTTAAGTTAAACTAAGTATGTAGGTACACTCTCCTTCAAGATATTGATAAACTTAATGAAATAATTAAAGGTGCTACAGGCCAATCAGCAGAGCATTAAATCAGTGATTTTGTGACAAAAATACTAGCAACAAACGGACTGTGCCATTAAATAAAAGACAGTCTGTAAGATATATGCTTATACGTTTCTTACTCCGATTTACCATTAATTAATTTTATTGGTCACGTGGCTTCTGAAGGCTCTGTATATCGGAGCCATCGTTAAAATTATTTAAGAAGCTTTTGCGATTTGTTGGTTTAAGTAGTTATTAATCCACAGTATTTGCTGCATCGTTAGATTATGAGTGTATTTTTCGATTTGTTTGTGCAGAGAATATCCCGCAAACGGAACTCGTAAAAGTTGTATTAGGGATAAGCAAAATAAAGGAAGAAAACAATATTGGCTGCATCAAAAGTTGTAATGCAGATCTAGTTATAAAAGTTATGAAATCATGACTGGTATCTATCTAGATTAATAGTTCATACTGAAATTGTAGTTTGAAATCTATCAGATGTCGTTAAATATATTTTATAGGTAATTTATAAGAGGTGTTATTGTAAATCAAATGAAATTGCGGTTTTAATAGTGTTGGATGATAGTAAAACTAAGATAGGCGAGTAATCGGTGCAAACACATGCAAAATCATGTTTATAGTGTAATATACAGGGTGTCTAAAAGCATGGATGAAAACGAATCGAGTTAAATCAAATTATTTTGAGATATTTTTTTAATTTCATTTAAATATCAACTTATTACTTTTATTTAAAACACAGGGGCTGCTAATATATCTTTTATTGGTTTAGATTTCGAGAAAAGGGAACAGTTTTATAAAATACCACTTTATTTATTACAGAAAAGGTGCACTTGTTGATTATCACTAAAATTCACTGCTCCAGAGAAATATCAATTTCAATTTTTTACTACAGTTTTATAATACGAATAAACTTTTTCTCAAAACTTGCAGCTAAGTTAAATAGGTATATATTTTTTGTACTAACGTATCTCTACTGAGATAAAAGTTTTTGAATTTAAATATCTATATTCAAGTATATGTTGAACTTTTAATGGGGTAAATTGGTCTAATCATGACAAATTATTTAGTTATTTTGCAAAAGCAAATGAGTAGAGTTTGATTAGACTAGAAAACCCCAATATACTCAACTGTCCATCGCTGATCGCTGATATCAAATTCCGTTGAAGTATCTTTAAAAAACAGCGGAGTTATCTCAAAAAAATGAAATAGAAACATATTCTTTGCAGGCTCGAATCTTCTTAAAAAAGCAATCTGGCAACAATGGCAATTGCTCTCATATCGATGGTATCCTTTTACCATTACAAATTTGATATCAACCAGATAATTTTATAAAAATTATAGGAGGTATATTATTTAACAAAATACCTAATTAGACCACTTAATCTATCTTTTCAGAAATCAGACAGACGCCGGTACCAGAAAACCTCCTAGAATACATAAAATGCGTCCAGTGCGAGTGCTACCTAACCTGCGACCCCGTTTACATCCAGAGCAACGGCAAGAACATCTGCCACCGCTGCGTCTACGCCAATGGAATCCCCCCCAACTGCCTCAGGAACATCGCCTACGAGATGCTGTCCACCATCCTCATCTTCCCCTGTATATACCGCAACAGAGGGTGCCCCACCAGGTTGAGATTCGGCAGAGCCCTCTGGCAGCACGAAACGGAATGCTCCTACGGTCAGACCTACCAGAAGATCACCAAGAACCCCAACCAGAAGGAAAAAGGCGTGATAAAGACGCATTCGGGGCACTATTACGGAACCATAACGCCCAATGTGGTGCTGTTCGCTCCGCCCAGTCAGAAATCTGAGTTTGAATTGAACAAGGAGTTGCTGAAGTCGCTGAAGAAGCAGCAGGAGAGGAGGTTCTTGAGAGCGGACGAGATAGGCAGCCAGATCGAGAAGATGAACTCTGATGACGGTTCTATCTCTGGAGATTCCGACAAAAAGAATTCCTACGATACCTTCAGCGACAGAAGTTCACCAGTGAGGTAAGACAATTGTATGTGTATACTTTCTTGTACAGCAAAATGTGTAGTTTTCAAATCACAATATTCTTCTAGAGCAAAAGTTGCCATTGTTACACTTTGCACCATCTTCTTTAAAACGTTCATACTTGTTTGCCAAGTTAAAACTTTATGAATGATTCTGTTTTGTTTCTCAATAAGCTAAGACCACTGCACAAATGTAACTTTGGAAATTAGGATTTAAAAAATAGAAGTAATAATCTTGAAGTGTGCTGAAATTTAGAGGTAGTATCTTACATGCCATTTTTACCAGCTTTTTCTATTAACGATGATAAACAATTGTAGTCATACAATGAAAATACTAATTCTTGTTTTTATACTCTAATCAAACAATTGCACAAGTTCAATAACAAGTATGAATACAATAACTAATTATTTCTCTACCAAAATTCCACGTAAATCCGAATTGACAGTTTTACCATTGTTTTACACTTAATGTCAATGTAATCTTGTCTCGCTTGGATTTATTTAAGATAATTGTAGCAAAATATTATTCAGAGATATCACGAATATTCGATATCATAAAACAAAGAAAATACACCCTTTATGGTTCTTTTCCAGATCAGACTATGACGCAAAATCAAAGCAGAACATATTCCAGTACCAACCCGTACCAGTGGAACCAGGCTACTTTTCGAACAACAAGGGAAAGCCCCCCCAATCCCCAACTATCGAAAGCCACCACAACAGCCTGAACCTGCCACAATCAAACCAGAACGACCCAAGCCCCAGGGTCTCCCGTCAGAACTCCTACAACAAAAAAAAGGACTATTACCACAACCAACCCAAAGAACAACTCAATTTGAAGGAGTCTTTCAATAACAGACAACCCCTGAGCAGCTTGGATAACAATATCCTGGCTGGGCACTATCCCGTGTTCATGTACCCGCAGAGTCCTGGAGTGCCAAAAACTCCTTCTTCGGTGCAGAGTTCAGGAGCAGCCCCGCAAACTCCTTCTTATAATGGGGCAATTCCTCCAGCTCCTCCTCCATATAACGGAGGGTTGCAGAACAGTTTTTCCTTCAGCAGTAACAACGGTGGTGATTACAGTAATAGGGTGTCGAGACATGAGAGTATAAGCAGCAATAAGGAGCTGATCGACGAATTGAAGACCAAGCTGATGAGGAACAAATCTGCGAAACCTCAAAATGTGCCTGATAGTCCTTATAAGGAGTGTAACAACTTGGAGGATATACTTCAGACTCACGATAGAATCACACAGTAAATATTTCGTAGATTTTGTTGTTAAGTTTGCTAGTGGTGAAGTGTGTATATTATTTTATTAAATGTATTGATAAAATGGATTGTATTCGATATTCGACTGAAGATTTTAGATTTTTTAGATTTTTTTTTCTTTACCAAAATTCCAGGTTGAATTTAAGGAACCAAAATATTTGACGTCTTACGAACCCATTTGTATATACAAATGTTTTCAATGTAATGTATATTTTTATATATTCTTAAAAATGCGCTTTTTTGAGAACAAAGCTAATACACAATAATAGACATAGAGAAATAGTAAATAATTATTATTCCGTCAGTAATTTACGATAACGTTATAAATCAACCAGTGACATAAATCTGTTGGCATGCAAAACCATCACGATGAGTGATGCTAAGTGTTATATGAGGCATGATTTTCACACTGGGTGTTTCGCAAATCAGCACCCGACACAATATAAATTAATTTAGATCTGCAATTGTATTAGATTCAATGACTTAAATTTTCGCTGGTGTTACGCAAGGATCTGGTTTAGGGCCGTACTTTAATTTATTTTTTATACCAAGAGGAGTAGAAACCTTCGTAACATTCGTTTCCAAATATCTGTTTTAATTCTGAATTCCAAAAAATATTTTGTGTAACTAACAAATAATTTATTTTGCAGAAAATTATAAATATCTGTGTATATTGTAATAGATCTTATTAAGAAAAATTATAATGTAAGTTTCAAGATAGCAACAGAACTTTAATTTTTTTAAGTAGATAATATTTAAGGTGATTTGTAATTATCGATAATATATTGTGAGTAGTGTAAAATTTATCAGTTGTACATATTTGTTATTTTAGTACGTAAAAACTGTAAATATATATTTAATAGTAATTAGTGTAAATTTTACGCTTAAATAAATATTTTAATAAAAAGGACAATTTTTTATATGTGTAAGAATATACAGGGTATATTATTAATTAAATTTATAGAGAGGCTTCCAAACACCTGTCATAAATATGTTTAGTCAAATTTTGTAACGAAAATAAAATTTTTTTAACTGTTTTTTTTATTAAAATAATTTTAAAAAATATTTCAAATCTATAAGATTACTTATAATACAGGGTGATTCACAACTTATCCAAAAAATTTGGGAATAGATGCGTCATGAAAAATGGAGTCAATACCGTAAAAAAAAATTTTGTAAAATCCTTATAGACTCCGAGAAACAAAATATTGAAGTTGTAGTATTTCCAACCTTTACATCGTGGGGCTACTGTAGTCTCTAGCGTCATTCGTCCACGTGGCCCTAGGCAATTGCGAATACTGAAATTCGATTTTAGTATTATCGTTGTAGCGATAGTGTTTACATTAGTTTTCAAGTGTCAAAAATGGCTTACGTGTATAGCAACTCGGAGTTGATGGATATCGTTTTAATTTATGATGAAGCAAAACAACATTTGTGTTATGGTGAAGCATTTGTGTTATTGTGGAGCAAGACAACATTTGTGTTGGTTCGTAGAAACTGGGTAAAACGGGCCCAAATGTGACTACACATCGGTGGACAAAATTTGAACAGTTGTAACATCAGGTATGTCAAATTATTCTATTAATTAAAACCACGAATTAATGTTATTAATTAGTTATAACAATAGCGGCAAAAGCAGTTGAATTTGCTGATATAAAATAGATGTTATAAAATTTTATTTATTTCTTTCCTTCTTTCAATTTTTTGTCCGTTAATTTTTTATTACACTTTTCCGCTGTGCCGGTCGCCGACTTTATGGTTCTTTGCCTTGCGTAAGGTCAGGTTTTACAGTGGACCAATTTCCAGTGCCGTGCAAAAGTGTGTTTTTAATTTTCGATTTGTCCTTTTTTATTTTTCTTTACAAAATTGTATTTGTAAGAGTCCCCTATACACTCAAAAAAATTTTTTTTTGGAAAAGTTCTGAATCACCCTGCATTGTTATTAATATTTTACACAAAAAGTGCTTGTATGTGTTATTTAAAATTCTCTCGATGAGTAAAACAGAAAGATGTGAAAAAGTGAACAATATTTGTGTTATGCTGAAAATTTTTAAATGTTAATAAAAATTGATTCAATGAACTAGTGACATCATACTACGATTACTGTTCTTACCGCTAATTTACAAAAAATATTTATCTAAGACAACTAACAATAATCAAAATTCCTAAAATGTTTTTTACAAAATTGTTGGGGAATTAAAAAATGCATGTACTTCGAAACACAATGTTTTTTTCTGATGAAATTCCAGTTTTATATGCAATAGGAAAAAACAAGTAACAATAAGTTTATATAAATCATATAAACATTGATAAAGTATCAGTAACATGTCGAAATAATAATCGTAGACATATAAATTTTTGTAAATTGTTATTTTAATCCTATTGTAAAGTTTAAGCAAGCGGAATGTCCAAATTACTGCAAGATATTTAGATTTCCTTATACAGGGTGTCCCAGTATTCCGTGTACATGGAGTTATCACAGCTTCCTACGATCAAAATAAGCAAATTTGACTAAGCACCTCTAAATTGACAAAAAATTGTTTGTTTCAAATAACTTTGAAATGTCTTTCATTAAAATTTGGCACACTAACATTTCCAAATAAATGTACAACTGTGAAAAATACACCCCCCCACCCTGCCCCCTCCCCTTTAACTAAACTGTTCATAATTTTCGTGGTCGTGCTACAGTCTATTTTTTTGTCTTAAAGATGAAGGGTTTGTTAAACAATGTTTGTATTTGTAACAGTTTTGGGTTAATTAATCTTTTTTATTATGTCGTTGCTAATTTTCTATTCAAATTTGAAGTAATATTTATTTGATAACAGAAACAAAATAATAGTTGAGACTGTTGTAATGTAATGTTTCTGTAAAACAAAAACTAATTTTATGCAAAATAAAATGTACATTTCTCAATATTCCTTCATTTTGTAGATGGTGAACAGCACCTTCAATCCAGTTCCCCAGTTGTCCCTAACTATCAATACTCACAAAGTACTCTTTCTGTTTTAAGGCCCCTCGAACAAAAATATCACAGGAATTTAAGTCAGGTGAACGTGTTGGCCAATGGACTGGAGTATCGTGTCCCCTGCCTATCGATCTGCTTGGGTGCTGATCATTCAGATGTTCTCATACATTGCGAATGAAGTGCGGTGGTGCTCTGTCATCTATAAAATATAGGCGATTCCGTAGGTTAACCGATAGATCGTCCAACAATTCCGGCAGGAGCATTTTGCAGAAAATCTTAAAAACTGTTTCGACATCCAGTCGACGATTTGGTAATATAATAGAAGCAAGTAGAACGTTACTGATAAAACCAACGTATAGTTTATACTAAATTCACGCTGAAAATATCTTTCCTTAACGACATGGGGATTTTCATGTGCGTAAACATGCTGGTTAGGTATATTTTTTATTTTTAGTAAAATATGATTCGTCAGTAAAAATAATTTTCTTGCTCATACCTGCAGTTCTGTATTGGCGAATAAAATTCGAGAATTGAAAACGAGCTGCAAGATCAGTAAGTAGAAGTTGGAGACTATAGTCAACCTCTATATTAATCTAACACTGGCTGTCGCGTTCAGAATTTCTTCTTTCACGATGGGTGGCCTAGTTTGACCAGGTCGTCTGACATTACCTCTGTTAATCGTAACTGTCCAATTTCTCCAAGAAGTCTTTCAATATTTCTGAGATTTTGATGATTTTGGGGGATTCAGATATCTTTCTCGATGGCATATTCCCCCACAAAACCATACAACTAGTAACATATCGGTTAGTTCTTCATAACTGTATTTATTGTTCATCTCAGAATAGTTAAAATCAATGAAACTGATTTAGGTGTTAATGAGAATTCGTGAAAATAATGTGACCCATGTTGGCCTACTATGATTTTTATCAAACAAAAGCACAATGTTGTAGCAACAGAATAAATAATATATTATTTGAAACTCAAACCGTTACTGTAGACTCAAAAAAAAAATAATTATTATTACAGAATTTGGGGCCTAATTTCATCATTGTTAATATAGTATCGGTGAAATTACAACCACCGCAGACCTCCATTGTTTGTGTTAGCTTATGCATGAATTTCAAATCGGTTTTCAGCTACTTGTTTACAAGCGACTCGACACTGAATTGCATAATTGTTTTGACTTACAACCGCCAATTCTGCACAGTACTTCATTGAGCGATATTGTTTCACTGACAAATTCAGTTACAACGCTGCTAATTAGACCACGCGTTGTCACAGTCGATGAAGCGTTTCAATACATTTCATCCAGACATATGTCTTTGTTGTACAGGGTGCTTGATTTTCGATAGTTTTATAGGGTACAGCCAAAACGGTGATAGATACAAAAAATCTGATTTCGATGTCCCGTCCTCTTTTTTTGAGTTTACTTCGCTGGTACCAAAAGGTCTGGGCTAACTTGATTAGTTTTAGAAATACAGGTTTTTTTTTGAAAAATGGCCCATTTACATTAACCTCTCTATCTCCGTTGTCATTCAATTTAGAAGAAAAAAGTGTGCACATTATTTGTTCTATTTTTTATTAGAAAGCCAGTGGTTTACTCAGATTTTTTACAAATCGCACAGTTTTTCCGATATTACATAAACATAGGTTTTTTTAAATAGAACACGCTATATTTGGCCAACCCGTTGAATAGCATTTTTTTTACCTTTTCAGCCATATATAATAATAGATACTTTTTATTTACCTAAATGAAGAAAAATGTAAAAAATGTACAGATATTTTTTCAGTTGCCCACGAGATTTATTTAGTATTGGTCTCTTCGTTTTCTATTATTATTTTTATATTTTAAGCACCTAACTTAGACTAAAAAATTACAAGAAAAAATTAATTAGATTATACATTTATCTTTACTTAATAGGTACACTTATAACTATTAAACATAAACTTAACAAAAATAACTACTATAAAATGAGAGAAACAACAATAAAACAAAAATGACATAACAAAATCACAGCAAGTGCTCTAACACTTTATTGTGGAAGAGAGCTACCCATACATGAAAACCAAACCGCCCTTGATGAATTCTGGCCACAGTTTGGTGAGAATTCACATCTGACCAATAACGCGCATTATGCCGGTTGAATATACCTTCGCTGCTTATAAAAGCCTCGTCGGTTCAAATAACATTTTGAAAAAAGTTGGGGTCTACATGAATTTGCTGCAAAAACCATTGGCAGAAAATGACGCGTCTCTCTTCATCTCCTGGATCCAAATGGTGGACTTTTCTTATAGTATATGGTCGAAACGTGTTTTTTTTTAAATTCTCAATGTTTTGAATTTACCAATTCCTATCGTCCTTTGAATTTCTCTGCTGGATACATTGGGAGTTGCGACAACAAAAGCTGAAGTATTGATTTCATCATTTTCTCTATTCTGTATATTATAAGATTTAGCTCTCTGTTTTTGAAAAGAACCAAACTCACACAAGTTATGAGTCGGCTAAAATTTCTCTTTTCTGGCTGATGACGGTCTGGGTATCTCTCCAAATATAAGTTTAAAGCTGTGTCACTATTTTTTTCACGTTCAGTGAAAATTTGAACTTTGTGAATATTTTCGTAGACCATTTTTATACCTTTCAAAATTAAAACCAAGTAACAGACGTTTAACAAGCTTTTAATCAGCAAAAATAAACTAACTGCCAATATTAAACAACAAAAGACGAATATATAAATAACATGGCCAACTGAAAAAATATCTATACATTTTTTCATTTTTCTTCATTTATCCAAATAAAAAGTATCTATTATTATATATATATGGCTGAAAAGGTAAAAAAATAAGCTATTCAACGGGTTGGCCAAATACAGGGTGTTCTATTAAAAAAACATGTTATGTAATATCGGAAAAACTGTACGATTTGTAAAAAATCTGTGTACGCCACTGTCTACCTAATAAAAAATAGAACAAATAATGTGGACACTCTTTTCTTCTAAATTGAATGACAACGGAGATAGAGAGGTTAATGTAAATGGGCCATTTTTCAAAATAACCCTGTATATCTAAAACTAAT